TGGGAATGGAGAAGTAGAACGAGATTTTTATTCATATGTATAAGTGGATTCATCCTCTCTTTATTCCCATTTATATGGTAACAATACTCTCTCAACTCCAAATCTAGACACATTTTTATATGTGGTAAGATAGATGGTTGACAGTGTGACAGTATATTAAAAATTTGAATATTTTTCAAAATTGTGAGATAAAATCATTGCCTGATTGATAGGTAAGATAACTGCAGAGCATTTCTTTCTTTTTCCCTGAATTCAATTTAATGCTGCATTTTTTGTTTTTAGTCTTATGAAAAGCTTAACTTAGTTAAAACATCAGGGGGAAAATTGCCATTTTGGCAGTGTAATTGCACATAAGCTCGAAGCTGGCCTGCCATTTTAATAATGCTTTGAGTCTTTAAACATAAAGCACTAAAAGTCAAAAATCTAAAGGTATCTATTCCTTGATATTTTTGTTTTTAACTTGTACTTACTGAGTTGTTTCATACTCAAGTGTTGTTCAAAAGGATATAACAACTCAGTCCAGAGATTAGACAATAAAAAGGCTCCAAAAAATTTTAGTTGTCAAGAACAACTGTTATTCATGAACTCTGAGAAAAAAAATTCTCTTCTTTTGGCAGAAATTGCCCTTCGGCAACTTAAAGTATCCTTTCTCCCTCCACAAAGCTTCACAAATGGAAAAGTTGTGCTGAATGGATGTCTTTAGTATCTACAACTAGGAAAAAATGTGTTTCTCTGAAGGGACGGTGAGAAGTCTTTAGAAAACTGGGTTAGGATGGATTTGAACAGATCTCTTTTCTTACACTATGAAAAACCTTTCTCTTGTTATAATATCTCCTAGTGGGATCAGTTTGTAGCAAATTCAGTTCCATTTCGGGAGTTACAAGCCTTCAGTTAAACACAGAAAGCTGAAGAGAGCTCTACATCTGGACAAAGTAATCTTTGCTATTTATAAAACTATTCTAAGTATCAGTTAATTCCTCTCAAACAAAGGTGAAGAAACTGAAGTCTTCAGTTGGTTTAAACTACAGGGAATGATACTACCTCTCTGTAACATATTTAATGATATGTATTCACTTCAATACATTTGTGATATTCCAAGTAATGCAGTGATACTAATTCTCTATCCACTGGACATCAAGAGAGTTCTTAGTAAACTCCCTGGAAGCTAAGATTTGATCTGACATTGAGGTAGATGTTTTGTTATCTTACAGAGACCATTTTGTATGAAAAGGTTACCTGTGGTTTTGCCTATGTGTTTGCCACTTGACCTCATTTTCTGCCATTTCCTCCTTCGTATTTTAAATTCTAATGAAAACAGAGCTGTCCAGCTCTCAACCAAGCCTCAGTATATTTCACACTTGTATTGTTATTCACACTGCCCCCTCTGTGTTATAAAATTTCCACTCCTTTATATTGCTAACCCCTATTGATACTTCAAAACTCAGGTCAATGGCATCTTCTCCAGGAGGCTGCTCCTAACCAGCGGGTGTAGGTGAGGTTCACTTTCTGTACTGCCCCAAAGTTCTCTACCCAATCTTTCTGTCACACTGGGCCACAGCTATCTCCTCTTATGGACTATGATCTGAGAACAAGAACGACTTCTTTGTAAATCCTTAGTGCTGTCTGTTGTTCCAATATTACATGTGATTAATTAATTAATTACTCACATCAATGAGTATTATAGCTTTCTGCAATCCAGGACTCTCAGCTTATAGAGAAGACAAATATACAAGTACACAAATGTCTACATGATTTTAAGGCTATATGACAGGATAATGGAGTGGCATAATTTAGATTTGGGATCTGGAAACTCTTTGGGGGAAAGAACAATGAAATTTAAGACCTGAAGAATAAATAGGAGTTAATTAGACAAAGACTGGGGGTATGAAGAGCATCCTAAGCAGAGAAAAGAGCATTGATTAAGGGCCTTGTGCAAATCTGTACTAGGCTTTTTAAAATGCTCACAGCGTTTTGTGGAGGAATAATTTATATAAAATAAGATGCACCAATTTTAAGGGTGCACCTTGTTTTTCTTTAACATATGAATACACTCATGTAACTACTACCCAGATCAAGATAGAGGACATTTTTATCACTCCACAAAATGTCCTTGTTTCTCCTATTCTAGACAATTCCATCCCAGGAGGTAACAACTACTCTGGCTTTCATCACTCAAGGTGATGCATTTAGAAAACTGCAAAAGAGTTCAGTGAAACAAACATGGGGAGCAAGGGGCTGGTAGGGAGAGAGATATGAATGCAGAGATAAGAAGATGGCAGATCAAGGGGAGTCTTGAGGATGTGGTTCAAGATCTAGAATTTTGGTCTGAGTGAAACGAATAGCTTTGAAGATCTGAGTAGAGGCAAGATTTGACGTTAATATATGATTGGATTCATATATTAACAGCTGTACTAATTAGAGAGGGTTAAGAGTGGAAATAAAGGAGCCAGTTAGGAAGCTAATGTAATATTCTAGGCCAAGAGATAATGGTGGCATGAGCGAAGGAATAGCATGTAGATGGAGTGCAATCAATTGATATAAGATGTGGAAGCCTGGGTGGCTCAGTCGATTAAGCGACCAATTTCTGATTCTGGTTCAGGTCATGGTTCGTAAGACTGAGCCCCACATTGAGCTCTGTGTGGACCGCACAGAGTCTGATTGGGATTCTCTCTCCCTCTGCCCCTTCCCAGCTTGCATGTGTGTGCATGCACTCTCTCTCAAAATAAATAAACTTAAATGTATATATTATGTATATATTTGAAGATTGTAGACATTCATTTACTAAAATGAACTCTATTATTTTAGTAAAGAACATCATTAAAAGTTATGGTTGCATTTAAACAGCTAATGTTGCTGAAAGCTAACAAAGAGATTCTCCCAATTATAAGTAGTACTTATTATTTCCTATGTACTTCATAATGAATTCACCTACAAAGGGAATATTGCTTGGAGTTTTCTATAACAACTAGACTAATATTTGCTTTTTGGCCATGAAAAAGATCTTCCATCTTTCTCTCTAACTTTAACCATGAAAAAGATTTTCTTTCTTTTTGTGATGAGTTTAAAATCATAGCCGAACATAGAAATTTTCATTTTTACTTATTCACATTCTCAAAATATGACTCACTTAGCCATCAAAAACCACAATGGAGAATGAATACTCCAAAGAAATATGCTGGGTTATATTTACACTTAGATTATAATTGTGGTATTTAAGTGAATTAATTCTATGCCATAAATTGAATGATATTTGCAGATTACTTAGGTGAACATCATCTCACTAAAATTATCTTTTAGTTTGCTTGTTTTTCCTTTTTTGAACAATTGGATTTATTTTTCCAAATAGCTTAGTCGGTTTTTATTTTGTTTATATTCACATTTAGAAAATCTGATGCTTGTTTTTGACTCTTTAAAATTTTTTTTGCATTTATTTATATTTGAGAGACAGAATAAGACAATGCATGATTGAAGGAGGGGCAGAGAGAGAAGGAGACTCAGAATCTGAAGCTCCAGGCTCTGAGCAAGCTCTCAGCACAAATCCTGATGTGGGGCCTGAACCCACGAACTGTGAGATCATGACCTGAGCTGAAGTTGGACACTCATCTTACTGAGCTACCCAGGCACCCCTTGATTCTTTATCTAAGTGGTAAAATGGAGTGTTAAAAAGTGGCAAGCTTGCTGCGTTAATTTCCTAAGGCTGCCATAACAAAGTGATACAAACAGGGTGACTTCAAACAGAAACTTATCGCCTCAGAGTTCTGGAGACTAGAAGTTCAAAATCAAGGTATCAGCAGGGCAATGTTCCCTCTGATGCTCTGGGTAGAATCCTTCCTTGCCTCTCCTAGCTTCTGGTGGTTTGCTGGCAATCTTTGGTGACATTCTTCGACTGTTGATGTGTAACTCCAATTCTGTGTCTTCACATAGCATCTTTCTTATGTCTCTGTCTCTTCACATGGCATTCCTTTTATAAAGACAAGTCATTTTGGATTAGAGATCCACCTTATTCCAGTGTAACCTTATCTAAGCTAATTACATCTACAGTGACCCTATTTCCAAATAAGGTCACATTCTGAAAGACTACGGGTTAGGACTTCATGCATCTTTTGGCACATGATTAAACTTGTAACAGTTACCAAAAACAATTAAAATAAGTTTCTTCCTCTGGGGAATTGCCTAGCAGCCAACCTCTCCATTGGCTACATATATTTTCATTACATGTAGAAAAATAACTACATAGAGATATGAAAAGCTTGTGTGTGTGTGCACAGTCACCTGTACAGACCTGGTGGATCCCATCACTGATAACTCATGGAGTAGTCATGGAAACTGGGAAAATGTTGTTTTAAATTTCCATGCGTAGTTCATTCCTTTTATTTTGGCATCGTCATTGGCAAAATTTTCTTATGCATTTTTGTTGGTAGTATCAGCACATTTGTTTTCATTCCTTTCTCCCTAGAGTACTTTAATATAGGCAAAATAAAATGGAATTCTGATGGATGGCTTATGTTTCTCCATCCTGGGAAAGATGGGTTACAAAACACCAAAATGCTCAGCAATATGGCTTGTGAGGGATTTTTAACTGCGTCTTCCTTACACTTGGGAAAACTTATCACTTGCAGTGATTCTGTCTACTCTAGACAGGTTATCTGAATAATTCAGATAATTACTCTAGTTCTGAATTTTCTCTGCAAACCTGATTTCCCTCCCTCAGTTCTCTAATCATTCTGTAACACTCAACTGACATTTAATGCAAATCTACTATATACCAAACACAAAGAAACAGAATGTTTTATAACTCCTAAATAACTAAATTTAAGACTATATTTTCCCTAGCGACCTGTCTTAACAGCTTTTGCATTGGATTATGGCATATTCAAACATAGGAATGAGTTAAACAGACTGAGGTGATGAGTAACTACATCAGGGAATGTTATAGTTATCCTTATATGCTGCACTGTGCTTTTGTGACTAATATTTGTTTTCTATATATTTTATTTCAGCCGAAAGAGACATCAATGTCTACTGTGGGGTGCAGGCCATTACAATGAAGATTAATTTTTGCACAGTACTTTTCTCGGGTTATTCTGAAACGGATCTGGCACTGAACGGAAGGCATGGGGACTCCCACTGCAGGGGGTTCATCAATAACAACACCTTTCCCGCGGTGGTCATTTTCATCATCAATCTCAGCACCTTGGAGGGCTGTGGAAACAGCTTAGTGGTAAGATGAGTGTAAACTCCTGTGCTAGGTTTGGGGTCACAACAAAAATCTCTCCCCATTTCATGAAGTCATCAGAAGCCCAATCTATCTTTGAGGAAAAAATTCCAATAAAACTGAACAAATCACTTCCTTTTCCTGTGTGAGGCTTCAAACATACAGTTTTATTTTCCAGTAATGGTTCTGCTTATTGTAGCTGAGCAGTGGAGGGGCTCAAGATGTCACAGCGACGAGTGACATTGATGAATATTTATCTATGTTTTATCATTACCTATGTTTCTCATGCTTTTTATGGAACTGTCTTATCACACAGAAATTGTTTGTTCCAACGAGTTGGACAATGGATCCCTAGACCTATTGCCTCTTAGTGACCTCATTCAGAAAGAAAGATAAAATATAGAGCGGGAAGCCTACACTCTCCTAGGGTTCGTGTTTACCGTGGAATGATCCAAACCAGTGTTGTGTGAAAGAGGACTGTCAGCATTTCTGGTGTAATATTCTCCATTGTGTGGGACTGTCCTTTGAGTTTCAAAATGTTTTTCATACTCAGTCTTACTCATGAAATCCCAGTAGATTGTTCAGAAAAGGAAATCTCTCTAGTCATTGTGAAAATCAAATATTTCCATCCCCAAACAGAGCCACTAGTCTACTCTATTCGTTTATTTATGCTTGCACTGAACACACACACACACAGACACACACACACACAGGAATTGAATAAGGAATTGATTTTCCCAAGAATTAAAATTTGAAATATAAATATTGTGATTTGAGGGGTATTGCACTGAGATTCATTGAACACTATTTTTCATTTTGCTTCTTTGAATGTAATCTTATTGGTAAATCCTAGCACAGACAAAAAGGAGATACAGTGAGTGTGACCACTTAGCCCAGTGAACGAGGAGATGCTAGCTTTTCTTCTTCATAAATTTTTATTTGGGATTAAAGGGGAAGGCTTAATTCCTCTAAGGACAGGGTTTCTAAGACTTGATGGGAGATGGGAGACAGGAAAAAGATTTCTCTGATTTCCTTCTTTATCTTTTCCCAGGGGGTAGTTAGAATATTGTGCCCATGACCATTTCCAAGCCTGCAGCTTGAGCATTGTTGACTCTTTTTATTAAATACATTTATTCATCTCTCTGAGTTGTGCACAGAGAGGTTATGAGGTGGGCCTGAGGGAGTGTGATGCAGGCTGATTATTACATGTCTGTGTTTCCTTGTGGAAGGAGAAACCCACGTGGAGAGCCAGACTTTCCCTCCTCCCACTGTACTCTAGGGTCCTTCCTTCATGGCAGTTTCTTCTCTAGAGTTAAGTTTTGCCCTATTGCCAAGAAAACAGTTCAGGAGAAGTGCCAGGCAAAGCATCTGTGTGTGTGTGCACATGTCTGTGCGTGTGTGCACACACTTGCTGTTTACTTTTTTTTAAGCTGAATAATTTAGGTATAAAAATTGCTACATATGTGTATGTGTGTTTTATTTGCTCTGTTTTCACAGAGTTGGTATGTTTAGCTAGTCAGTCAGGCAAATGTGAGAGGAGGCGAAGATTTGCTTACACTTTCAGTTTTGCATAGATGTCACCAGCTTTGGAATTTGCTCCAGGGACAATCCTACATGGGAAAAATTAAGTAGACTATTACGTCACTGGATTGGAATAAAAAAGTGTTTTCAATTATAATGATTCTGGCTCTGTTCATGAATTAGCTAGATAATTGCCTCAGCTTTGCCTGTGTACTCCTAGGTTCCTGCTTAAAGTTTATTCTATTGTTGAAAAGTGTTATAGATTTCCATAATACCTGCTACAAGTATTTATTGAGCATCATATTGTAGTTTATGTAATGGGAGGAGCTGTATTCCTCTATGAAAAGTCAAGAACATTATTATGAAAGTCAAGAGCATTATTGATTATTCCTAAAGTGGTGGTTCTTAAATTTTAATGGGATTGAATAATACAATGAGAGCTAATCGGTGTCAGGAAAATACACATATGGACAATATTTTAATATAAAGTCTGGGAGTTCATCCTCTTGAAACTCATCTATGAACTATTACCCTGGAAAGGGATGAGAATCTCCATGTATATACCAGAGAGGGAGACCCTCAGATGGACCATCAGAAAAAAACTGTGACCTTAATGCATTTGGTCAAAATTTATCTCAGGAGTCCCAAGCTGCTGATGTCACTGTGTGATGCTGACCATGCAAAGGCAAAGGCTAAGGGAACTCCCTACCCACAAAGAGCTCTGATTATGGTGAAGGGGACTGCCAGTTTATGAGACCACTCAACGCACTGTGACTCCTCCTATGATGGAGACGAACATTGTTGTAGGACAGTCAGGAACTTGCCTAGGGAAGCTGATGAGATCCAGGGAAGGAGCAGGAGATGTCAGGTGAAGTGGGGGAGAAAGGAGGCAGAGAGAGCATGCACAAAACCTTATAGAGGGCCTTGTGGCTGGCTGGGGCATTTTTTAAAAAATTTTAAATGTTTTAATTTATTTTGAGAGAGAGAGAGAGAGAGATGCAGGGGGGAGGGGCAGAGAGAGAATCCCAAGCTGGCTACCCCGACAGGACTCAAACTCACAGTGAGATCGCCACCTGAGCTAAAATTAAGAGTATGACGTTTAGGAGACTGAGCCACCTAGGCGCCCCTGCTTCAAATTGTTAACCAAGTGTGTGATTACAGGGATATGAAGCTAAAGTGGGAAACAGAGATATTTTAAGCCATGTCACAGAATTTGGGCTTTACTGGTAAACATTTTTAAATGACTCATTGTAGTACTCTCAACATGTACTCTCTCTCCTTTCTTATTTATGAAATATGAATAGTATCTTTGGTGAATATGAAGTTGTATTTAGTTAAAAGACATATTAATCACTTATAAGTAGCATTATATACATATAATGTCAAATCCATGCAATGTTGTAGTTGAAACAAACTCTAGAAATGACCTGGTCTAGGAGCACCTGGGTGGCTCAGTCGGTTAAGTGTCCCATTTTGGCTCAGGTCGTGATCTCATGGTTCTTGAGTTCGAGTCCTGTGTTGGGATCTGTGCTAACAGCTCAGAGCCTGGAACCTGCTTCAGATTCTGTGTCTTCCTCTCTTTCTGCCCCTCCCCCACTCACATTCTGTCTCTTTCTCTATCTCAAAAATAAATAAACATTAATTTTTTTTTAAAAAGAAAGAAATGATCTGGTCCAATGTTTTATTTTGCATATGGGAAATGCCTAGATTTATATACAGCTATTTAATCATTGAACTTGATCTACCATTCCAACAGGTATCCACAATTCCTGGAGTCAGTGCTTATGGGAATGCAACTTCAGTACAAATAGGAAATATTTCTGGATACATTGATACTCCAGACCCACCAACAATCATCAGCTATCTACCTGGACTGATTTACAAATTTAGTTGCAGTTATCCGTTGGAATACCTGGTTAATAATACCCAGCTTGCCTCGTAAGTAACTATTCTTAGTTTCACATTCTGTCTTTATGTTTGAGTCATTTTTTTCTCCCTGAAGGGACTTAGAAAGATAGCAGGATTTGTTGAGAATAGCCAAACTCAAAGTATTGGAAACCATATTAAGTCTTATCTATCTGTCTTTCTGTCTGTCTGTCTATTTAATGTTGTTATGACCCCTATCAACAGATCAGGTGTATATATTTACCCCGAATTAAAACTAGTTCAAACTAGTCAGATTTCTGCCTGGGGGTTCTTCTCACTCCTCTGAGAATTGCTGAACACTGAGAACTCTAAGTGCTTATGCAGTCCAGAAGGTGTCCTCTTTTCATTGTATAGAACAGTCACTGATTTTTTGGGTCCTTCTTGGCTTCAGTCTCTCTGATGCCTCAGAATCTGGGGACTCCATGCCTCTTGCTGAGATGTCAACTGCACAAGTACTCATGGTCCCACAAGGTGGCCTCACCCAGAGCTAAGGAGCTTCAGATATGGACTGTTTATAATCATGTATTCATTCATTTTTCCCAAAGGACATACTCCAAGACAAGGTTATATCCACGTTACAGTGGTCATCTGGATTTGTCAAATATTTTTGATGAAGTGGGGTGACTGAGTGAAAATTTTATTTTTCCAGTTCTAGGGCTTGCTATCACAAAGGTGTCGTTATTGTTTAATCTTAGTCATGAGGGAACGTGGAGGCCACATTCTGTTTCAGATAAAAAATGGTCACAGCTGGTTTTAATGGCACAATGATGATAAATATCTTGGTGAAAAACAAGACTTGGAGAACAAGAAAAGAAAGGCTTTGAGTCTAAAGGATACAGGTGTGGAGGGAAGTGGGCCATGAGGGTGTCACAATCTCACTCTGCTCTACTTCACTTTCCCAGTAAACAAATCCCTGAGCTGGAGTGTACACAGAAAAGCATTCATTTATTCAATAAATATTTATTATACTTCTCCTATGTACCAAGCAATGTTCTAGCAGTGAACAAAGTAAAACAAAATCCCTGATATCATGAAACTTCTAATGGGATTGATGAAAATGTATTTGTATCAGATTCAAATTATATTGGAATGACATTTTTTCTTTAAAGTCTCATATATGAATTGCAAAATGGAAAGATGCCTTTATAAGTAAAAAGATCATAAAGAACAGTTTGTCTTTATTTGGTCTCTCTTGCTTTTTGATATATTCAGTGATTTAAATCATGTGCCTACTCCAGACCCAGGTAAAAGTATGTCAAGCTTACTTAAGACTTTTAGTGCCTTAAATCTAACATTAAGGCATAACTGAAACTTTTAATTTAAAATCTATCAATGCTTTCCTGTTTCTAAATCTGTTTTAGGTCCTCAGCTGCTATTTCTGTGAGAGAGAACAATGGTACATTTGTCAGCACTTTGAACCTGCTCCTTTATAATGTAAGTTGATGGGTGACGGATGTTATGTTCTCTCTCACTGTTCTGAGGAGCCATTTCTGTGGATAGATTTTATATCAAGATCTACCAAAAGCCACATTAACCTCGTTATACTTTGGTAACATTTATCCATCTTTACTACCATTTTTATATATCCTAGTGATAAAGGTATACTAAAAACTCCATTGTTTTCTAAAAGTTGATAAATGACTTAGATTTTATTTTGTAAATGTGATTCTACATAGTTATTCTAAGTCTATCTACATTTATACGTATATATTTGTATGTGTGTGTGTGTGTGTGTGTGTAGCCATAGTCAGGGTCAAGATGTTAGAAGTAATATTTTTGTGATAAAAAGATAGGAAAAGTCCAAATGATACTTCCCTTGAGGGCATGCTTGGTGATGAATGTGTTAACATTTTTAAAATGGATTTCGGCTGATGACAATTCTGTCAAATTTGAAATAGTTTGGGTTGACTACATAGGATTGTCTAAACTCTTGTCATGTAAATATCGGCAGCGGCAGCAAAACATGAAAAATACATGGATTTCTATTTATAACTCTAACATTAATCCCCCAAATGATATTTTCATGTTGATTAAAATTTTTATTCATACATTTTAAATGCCTGATTTAAATATCAATTTTTCAATCTATCAACCAACATTTTTGTAAATTATGAATCTGATTTTTACATTATTATTCATGTCATCATGGCACTGAGTTATAATTCATGCAACTGATTTAAAAGTCAGTGCTTTATACTTTGAATATAATGAGCTATAAATATTGTAGTAGGACATTTTCCAAAGGCATTTAAAAAAATCGTGTTTATAAGTTTGTAGTCTGACACCACTGAGTTCTAAACAACAAATTAAAATGTGTTGGAATGAAGATGGCCTTTCTGTCATTTCTAAACTTTCCTCTGCAGGGAGAAACTGCCAACTTACTTGATTCTATAGCACTCAGCAAATACGTGCCAGTATTCATTATCAATATGGTCAGATATTTATTATTGTTTTGAGCAGTATTTTTGAATTGGGAAGTTTCTATCTGCTGATTTATACATGAATTTATATATCCTGAGGTAGAATTGAGGTGACTGGTTTGGGTTCAGCATTATTGATGATTTTTGAGTGAAACAAAGATGAAAACGGCTAATTTTAAAAAAGTAAAAAAAATATATACCCAAATGGTATTTAATAACACCATTATTGTTTGTGAAATTAAACCATTCCCTTACTGGAAAAGCAGCAAATAAAAATTAGAAGCATGGATTTGTTGAGAGCTTTGCTCTAAGGGTCTTTCCTTTATCATTGGAAATAGTTTTCTCTTATTGTTAATAAGACATAATCCTTCAAAAACTTTCTAGCATCTTTAAAAAATTTTTTTTAACATTTATTTATTTTTGAGAGAGAGAGAGAAGGGGCAGAAAGAGAGGGAGACATGGAATCTGAAGCAGGCAGCTCTGAGCCTGACAGGAGGCTCGAATTCACAAACTGTGAGAACATGACCTGAGTCAAAGTCAGATGCTTAACTAACTGAGCCACCCAGACACTCCAAAAACTTTCTGGCATCTTAATGCTAAATAAAAGCCTATAATTTGGTGATAACCTTAAGATTTTAATTCTATGATAAAAAGGTAACCAATTGTTTGATATCAGACTATAAATGAAATAGGTAATGTCAAAACACATCTCATTTGTTTTGATGTCTCACGCTTTTTATTTGACTATTTGACAAGACTTAACATCTTAAGATCTCTGATGAGAACAGGATGAAGAAAAATATTTCAGAAAACAATAGACACATCTCATTTTTAGCCAGTTTGCAATAAAGACATCATTAATGGTGGAATTAAAAAGTTAAACTGAATTTTGATTTAATAAAATTGAACCATTTCTCCATAAAGTATGCTTTTTAATTAATAGACCATTTTTAGAGAGGTTTTTGGTTTACAGAAAAACTGATCTGAAAGTACAGAGTTCCCACAGACTTCATGTGCCTGTACACAATTTCCTTTATTATTTACACCTTGAATTTGGAGGTATATTTGTTATAATATCCATATTGATGCATTAACTGAAGTGTTTACATTGAGTTTCACTCTTCATGTATATTTTTTGGGTTTTGACAAATTCATGATGACTTGCACTCATCATTACTCTATCATATAGAAGAGTTTCACTCCCCGAACTACTTTTTTAACATGACATGGTCATAGTATTTTGCCATGTTACAGAGCACTACCAAACTAGTAATTTATACATGTTCCCATGTATAAATTAAATAAATAAGTCACAAAGATGAAAATTACAGCATAGGTAATATAGTCAATTATATTGTAATAATGGGGAAAAAAAGCCCTAGTAATTTACATGAGAAAAACATTTTGGTTTACTTTCACTAATTGATCTGAAATCATATTTATTATTTGTTTGAAACGCTAACATTTAGCTGTCCAAATGTAATTTTATTGCAGCATTTCAAATTAAGTATCATTTTACAATTATTTGTGGCCAAGTCTTTCTATTTCACATGCAGTTTTTGAATGATGAAAAGTTACATTCCATATCTACTACTCTTATTCTCTGATTAGTTATTTGGAAAGGAAAACTTGTATTTAATTCAGTGCAATTGTTTAAATCCATGTATTCTGGCACTCAGTAAATGTACTTAGGGAAATTTTATTTATAAAAAATAATAATTACTTTTACTTTTATTGACTATGCAATTTCCATACATGTGGATTGTGTCCAGTTGAACTGTGGCCTTATTTTTGTGTAATATAAATGTATTGGTTTTGTCCTCTCTGGAAATGGAAAGCAAAGATGATTTTGTGAATTGTATCTAAATATTGGTATCTTTTGAGCAGATAAAGAAAGAACAAACCTGAAATAGTGTTATAGTAATTATGAATGTTTTTCAAAGTTGAAGAAAAAATCTAAAATAAATATAATTAATTTTAGGAACAATATAACAAAAGTAAAAAAAGCAACTCTACCAAAAAAGTTTTAAAAAAAGTAAAAACATTACCTTTTAGAAGCAATTTTAGAAGGAAAAATTTGTTGATTCATTTGCAAATGACTTAGCAGTACAATAATTGTAAGAAAGTAAACATTCTTCCGCACACTACTGAGGCAGGTATATAATCTATGGCGGCCCCTGGAGGGCTCACTCGGTAGAGCATATGACTCTTGCTCTTGGAGTTGTGAATTCCAGCCCCAATGTGGGTGTAGAGTACTTAAAAATAAAACCTTAAAAAAATAAAGCTCTGTATATTTTAACATAATACTTGGAGAATTTTGGAAATGGAGCAGGAAAGATAAATAAAACTACTACTTATTAGGAATGGTTAGAGGAGCTCTCATCATTTCTCATAGAAAGGAGTACAGCATATATTCCCTCACTTATCTGGCCATATTTGGGAATGAAAGACTTCACATGAGTGCAACTTTTTCAAAAGTAAAGCATTCAAACTATAATTTTAAAAATTTATAACTTAAAAAATTCAAAATCTGTTGCTTTTTTCCCAGGCTTCTTAAATAGAGTATGCTCTGTATTTCACCTTTGCTTGGTGACTGTGAAATTTCATGATGAACATTAACATTTTTTCTTTGCTGAAAAATGGCTTCAAGGTTACCAAATTTGGGAGAAGCAATTTGCTTCAACGCCAATTGATTTGACAGTTTACACTTGTAGAAGTTCTATTCTTTTCTTTTTCTTTTTTTTCATTCTACAATTTTTTGTTTTTCTTTGTTGTCAAATTAAAGCTGTCACATCTCAATTTCTGACCTATTGCTTTCATAGTGTAAATTGGGAGGAGGGCACTTGTTGGAATGAGCACGTGGTGTTATATGGAAACCAACTTGACAATAAACTATATTAAAAATACTGTAACTTGGGGAGTGATACAAATAAGCTCTCTAGAATTGTTATAAAATAAGAGTAAAAAGGTAGAAGTGAAGTCCTGAGACACCCTTCTTTACGGAACTGCCAAGGAATTTGGTGAAGGAAGTCTTGTGGCATGCAGTTTGGCAACTTGGAGGACTCATTGGTCACATCTTTGGTTTTCAATTAAGTTTTGATAATTTCAAATTGCCAGATAAGTGATTTGGGGCAAATTATCAAGAGCATAAAGACTTACAATCCCAATGGGAAAGGGCTTAAAGTGAAGTAGATGAGAAACTGCATGATAGCCACTAATGTAACTTAAATAAATGAAGTATTAATTTTAATAAACTAAATCTTGACACTTGATTATTAAACAAATTAAATATTAAACACTATTAATCATTGAATGCAGTTTAAATACACAGAACACTAACCATCATATATAATAAGCTATGGAAAGAAAAAGATTTATGCATGGACATGAATTTGTTACTTGGATATGGTTTAAGAATAGTTATTCCATCTAGAGGATCTAATCTATAGGATTAACTGGATCCTTTTTGGGGTTGATTCTGTAAATTTATGGTGATTTGCCCCCTTTTTATATGATAGTATTGTTTTCAGTGGTAAATGTGCTGTTGTTGGGAAGACAATGATGAATTAATTGCTTATTTTTTTCATCATTAGGATTCAACCTACAGTCAGCAGTTAATTATCCCAAGTATAGGATTACCTTTGAAAACCAAAGTGTTTGCAGCTGTACAAGCCACTAACCTGGACGGCAGGTATTCTCAAACTCTTATCTTTTGTTGTTGGTGTTTTGTGTTGTCCACACAAAGCCTTGTGAATCATAAAGTTAGCTCATTCATTTTTAATTTAAAAAGTACTGTCATTGCCACACCATTTAGGAATGCTAATAAATAGAAATAGCAAATTACAAAGATTAAGAGGGACACTTATTTTGTGTCACTAATTGGAAAATAACAAGTCTTCCCAAAAAAGAAGGAGGGGGGAGTTACTGGAAGAGGGAATGGGCAGATCTTCTGAGATATCACAATGTTCCTTTCTTTCATCTGAAAGATGATGAGTCAGATGTAGTCATTTCATGAACACTGATGATTTGTGCATTTCTCTCTCTCTCTTTTTTTAATGTTTTATTTATTTCTGAGAGAGAAGGAGAGAGAGATTGAACAGCATGAGCAGGGGAGGGTCAGAGAGAGAGGGAGACACAGAATCTGAAACAGGTTCCAACTCTCTCCATAATGATCTGGGTCAAAATTATAGAAAATGATCCTCAGAAACATCAGTATAAGAAACCCTAAATCGATCAAGTTTCATATGATCAAGTTTTAGATAATCCAGAATGATCAAAATTGAAAGGGAATTCAAAAGCTGAAAATCCTGGCCTACCCTATAATAACATTGTAATGTATACGTGGTTTATTTTGGGTTTCTCACACATTATGTAAAATTTGCATCCTGAGGAGAATAGTATACTCTGGAAATTCTGTTCTACTTTACTTTCTCCCTTTCTGTCTTCTTAGTATTGTTATTCATATACCTTAAATATCATCTTATCAAATGCATGATTTAAAAAATTATTGGCATTTACTTCCCATGGGCTAGTAATTTTTATTACTTCCCATAGGCTAATAATTTTTATTCATTTCCAAAGCTGGAATGAAGTAATGTATAAATCTAGGCACAGTGTAGCCTTATAGAGGAAGGTTGTGTATTTGCCTCATGATTTTTTCTTTTACCTACCACAGTGTCTGTCAGGGAGTCCTACTCTCATCCTCACTGATTCTAGCATAATTTTCAGTGTATAATTTATGCACAAACCTCCTTGCTGTATGTGGTATTATAATATCCCCATCATTTGTTAGAGATAGTAACCTCCAGAAACAAAGCGCTGCTGTTCACAGTGAACATAGAAGCATCTATGTAGCTCAGTTTTGGGTTTTGTTTCTTCAGACTTGGACCAGTTGTTTTGTACACTGTGTGTGTATGTGGTATGTATGTATGATAATAGCCCCACTTGATGCAGGATGGCAAATTGCTATAGATTTTTAAACACCTTGAGCTTAGGAGAATGTTCTAATAAATAAGAAACTTCTGAAATAACCAATAAAAATATAATTCTAGGGGTGCCTGGGTGGCTCAGTTGTCCAACTTCAGCTCGGGTCATGATCTCGTGGTTCATGGGCTCAAGCCCTGTGTTGGGCTCTGTGCAGACAGCTCAGAGCCTGCAGCCTGCTGCACTCTTTCAGCCCATCCCCTGCTTGTGCTCTCTCTCTCTCTCTCAAAAATAAATAAATGTTAAAAAAAACTAAATATGTATATATAGTTCTATCCTGTGGGATGAGACATTCATCAATATTTACTTCCCTTGGATCAGTACAATATCCAAAAGGAGATTCTTATGCTTATATCTTTCTGCAGATGGAATGTCTTAATGGATTATTGCTACACAACCCCATCAGGGAACCCAAATGATGATATTCGATATGATCTCTTCCTTAGGTAAGTCATGTATCAAGAGTAAAGACCCAATTGTAGATAATTGAAATGAAAACTCCAAGTTATATAAACAATTTGTAGGGTATTTCTATAGCTTTTAAATGCAAAGTTTTACACTTTGAGCTCTAGTCCTTATAAAGCGGGAAGTATAAAAGTTGAGAAGAGTTTTCAACACAAAATGCTGATAAAGCTATTGTTGAATGAGAATTGCAAGTAAGTTCGGTCCATCAAAGATGTTTTATTAATGTTTAGGACATATGGGGATATTTCACTGTCTTAGAAAACGCATGGTTAGGATATTATTGACAATAAGAGAAAGGCAGTGGGAGGTACTATTTATCCACAGCTAGACTGTCTTATCATATGTCAAAGGAAAGTAAAATTAAAGTAATGGTCTAGATAATTTAGACCCCAAAATGCTTTTCTTCATTTATCAGTATTTAATATGAAAGTATGATATAGCCTACTACTTCTTTTTTAACAGAGCCAATAACTTCAACTTCATTCTCCACTAGACAATGATAGAGTGAATGTAATCTACATTTGGGGAAAGGAGACATTGATCATAAATACATTCAATCATCCCAGTTTCCTTTCAGCATTTTTATCTGACAGCCAAACAGACTCGAGAGTCAAGCAATGGCTTCTAATCATGCTTATAAAATGCAGTTGGCTCAGATCATTGCTGCTTATTGACACATGATGGGAGTAATATGATGGAAAACCAAAAGAATATGTTTTATTGGCTAAGCAAGGTTAAGATGATGTCCAGAGACTAGGTCAAACTGATACTCTTATATCTTATTGCTGGGACTGTTAATTTGGGCAACATTTTTGGGGAAAAAATGTCGTATGTATCAAAAACCTTAAAAGATTTCATATTCTTTGATTCTACATCTACAGATTTGAAAACATATTCTAAAATATTTATGATTTTCTTGTCTTTCATTGATATTGAACATAGTAAAACTCGGGAGCAATGAAGGATATTCAGCAATAAGGAAAGGACATGAGTGGGTGGATTGTGGAGCACTTGTAATTTGGGAACTCACATTTGGGAACTCACCTAGACACTAAATCATATAAAGTTACTTATAAAACAGGAAAAAAAAAGATTGGTTCTATCCCATCTCCTCCCTTTCTGTCTTCATATTTTTATGCTTCGAAAGATGTGGTTCTTTAAAATTCAAATGAATTGAAATACGAAGTGAAATAATCAGCGTGTACAGTTGTATGTAGAATGGACTTCATTTGTATCATTTATCATGGAAATGACTGTAAGAGAATACATCAACAGGCTCCCAGTGGTTATTTATGCATGGGAGGATTGTGAACCATTTTGTTTTGATGTTTTTCTTATTTTCCAAAATTTCTGTAATGATCACATACTGATAATCTGGAATATGATCATCAGACTTCTAGTATGACTGTGGCTTCATGCTGAATCTTTTCAGTGCTCTTATTAGAAACTATAGAGAGTGAAATAGTAACTAAATGAATCTCTCAAATGTCAGTTGCAGTGAAACTAGGTGGAAAAGAAAACTGAGAAATCCCCAGATAGGTGTTAGTGATGATGAAAACAATTAAGATCAAGAGCAAATGGTGCAGAGGGAGGCCTGCAGGAAGCTCTGTGGGGAGAGGTGGTGGGAGGAGTGGAGAAGAAAAGTGAATATTGAGGGGTCCTGCTGGTGGTAGATTTCAGAAACAGCCAGGAGAAATGTGCAACAGAAGGAGAGGGTACCTCTGAGAGGAGGAGTTGCTAGAAACAGGGCTGAGGTCCAAGAAGCAACAGCTCTGGGGAATATGGAGGGCGAAGGGATAGAGAATGACTGGAGTCTCAGAAGTGGCAGATTTCAGAAAGCACCAGGAAAAGTACATCTTCTAAAAAGTGGAGGATTCACCTTGGAAGATAAGGGCCTTGGTGTAATAGAATCGTGAATGAACCTGAAGAACATGGAGGTGATAATAGAACTCTTGAATATCTCTAAGTTCAGAGAGGCAGAGAAAATTCCACCACAAGTTATGCCACATTCAGTGGAAACTTGTCTGTCATTATAAAGCAACAGTGGGAGAACCTTGAGTTGAGGAAATCCTTGAGGAAGTTTATTACCATTCTACATTGCCCAAAGAGTCCCTGGAAAATGACAAATCTAGGGCAATCTAACACCTTCAACTATGAATGGTAAGCAAATGAAGATACTGCTTGCAGTGTTCCAGTGTACTATCAGAAAAATGTAAAAAAATAGCTGAGAAAAAATATTTAAAGACAAATTAAACTCACTGGAAAGAGGTTGCTGTGAAACAGATAAACAAATAAGATTTGCAATGAAACACTGCAACATTATTTTTTAAATTTTAAAGTTACCATAAAGCAACAAAAGCAGAATTGAAGTGGGATTACATCAAACTAAGAAGCTTTTGCACAGCAAAGAAAATAATCAATAAAATGAAAAGGCAATCTACTGAGTAGGAGAAAATATTTGCAAAACATATATCTGATGAGGGGCTAATATCTAAAATAGATAAAGAATTCATATAACTCAATAGAAAAATAACATTCTTATTTAAAAAAGGGCTGAAGATATGAATAGATGTTTTCCAAAGAAGGCATAGAGATTGTCAACAGGTACCTGAAAATATCTTCAACACCACCAATCATCAAGGAAATGCAAATCAATACTATAATAGAGATATCACCTCACAGCTGTTAGAATGGCTATATCAAAAATATAAGAAATAGCAAGTGTTGATGAGGATGTGGAGAAAAGGGAACATTAGTGCACTGTTGGTGGGAATGTAAATTGGTACTGCCACTATGTAAAACACTATGGGGGTTCCTCAAAAAATTGAAAATAGAATCAACATTTGATCTAGCAATTCTACCACTGAGCACTTATTCAAGAAAATGAAAACACTAACTCAAAAAGTTATATGCACCTCCATGTTCATTGCAGCATTATTTACAATATCCAAAACATGGAAACCTAAGTGTCCAATGATGGATGAATGGATAAAGAAAATATGAATGAATATCATATGGGAGAAAATCCTCATAGATACAGAGAACAGATTAGGCGTTGCCAGATGTGGGGACTTGGGGGTGGGAGAAATGGGTAAAGGAAGTCAAAAGTTAAAAAAAAAAAAAAAAGAATAACTGAAATGGGAAAATAAAGAAGGACAAGTGTCGGAGGCCTGCTCCGACAGGTCCAGGGGTCCCTGAAGGATGGACAGTGTCGGCGAGAGAGAGAGTGAGAGAGCCCCGAGATCCTTTCTGATCACCAGGCAGGCATCTCTGACCTGTCGGTTTTGGTGTCTTTATTTAAAGGTTCAAGAACAACATGAGATCAGAAAAAGGAATTTTTACAATGGGAAGCCTTTTGTGAATTACCTCAATCATAGTGAAGTTGAATTGTACAACTAAGGAAATAACAGGATGTTCTTAATGAAAAAATAGGATGACATATATATGTTAAGTCGTAAATAGTTAGGCTAGGAATTATTCTGTTTGGCTCTCAAGAGGATGAATGTTTTTGAACTGGTTAGTTTGTGGAAACCTATTTGATGCTAAATGAGTGAACACCACGGGGGCCCTAAAGGTGTTAGCTTTTTGTTTTTGGGTTATGTGTTAGCTACTCTTTTCTATCCTCATCCCAGCCACCTGTAAGGGAGGATGTTTGCAGATGGTATGCCTTTGGGAAGGGACTGCCATACATCATCAGTTAGAAGAAGCTGTACATGTTAAGTTTTACCCCTGTTTGTTCCTAAACTCTAAATTAGGCCTTTGTCTTGGGGCCAGGCTCAATTGTCTTTGATATGCCAGGCCCATAGGAAGAGGCTTTTGACAATCACCCACAGAGCTCTCATCTAAAATCTCTTTTGTAAAGGCAGGAATATGCTTTTCCTTATGTGGTATCTGTGTTCGGAATATGGGTCTGATATGGAATATTGTGAGGCCTGGTCAATACCAGCAGGCTCATTTCTAATATGAGCCAGTAGTAGCAGAAGGAGATACCAGTTTTTGTTTCTCACAGCAGGAGCTGCAAACACTGCCATTTCCTTGCTGTGACTACCATCAGAGAGGCCAGTGCGGCTCCCAGCAGACAAGAAGAGAAGGAGAGAAAGAACAAAGGAAAGACAAAAAGAGTAGAGCAGTAGAGACAAGGGCAAAGAAAGGAATGGAAGAAAAGGGAAGGAAAGAGAAGGAAAGTAAACAAGCAAGAAAAAAGAAAAATTGATATCCCTCTTTGTAATAAAAATAAATGACCTGAGAAAGTTCCTGGGAAGACTGAGTAGATATAGTTTTGTCTATTCCTCTTAAGTATATAAAAAAAACCCTATGAATATTATATACAAAACAAGTATAAGAATGATTTTAAAAATATGGAGATAAGGTTAGACCAGCTAGGGATTTTGAGACCTGATGAATGATGGCTTCTTTTTGCCTTATATATTCTAGACTTAGAGCTGAAGAAGTCAGGAACTCAGAAATATCAATGGCCACAGATATAAATAAATGAATGGGTGATAAACCTGTTTGAATGAATGAATGATGAAACCTGTCCTCTCAAGACAAAAGACTAGGAAGGGAGCAACCTAGTAAGACAGAAAGGTTTTACACAATAATTGTTCTATTCTAGTCTAATACCACATGCTAGCAAAGACTGAGTGAAGAACCAAATTTCTACCCTTAACTGTATGTAACATGGTGTCCCAATATCCCATATGGGATGATTTCAGAGAAGGCAGAGTGGAGATTCTGTACTTCTCCTCCCACCTGGCAATAATGAGATACCCTTACATGCCCTTTTGGGTTGATGTCAGAGGAGTCCAAGCAGAAACTCAGGCCATTTATTACAATGCCACATTAACAAGGCCCTAGTCCTTGTGTTGGCCACTCCTACCCTACATAAGCAACAAGATGTCAGTGGAGGCCCAGTGGGGAGTAGAAACTCCTACCTATCCAGCATTAACAAGATCCTTGCTCCTTGCATGTCAAGAAAGGT